TGTGTGTGTGTGTGTGTGTGTGTGTGTGTGTGTGTGTGTGTGTGTCTTGTCCTCCTTTTGGCACCTTCTTCTTTTCAACTATCAAGCCGATTTAACAAGTACATTTTTCCAGTGTGAGATCAATGAAGTCAATCAATCAAAACTGGATCAATAAATGCGGTTAGTCAGTTGCTGATTTGAACACATTTTTTATTTTATTTTTCTGCTATTAAAGTTTGTTAAACTGAAACTTGTAAGTGTGAAAACAAAACAGTAGAAAGCTTTCAGGCGGCTAATAGTTTTTCACAGCATCATAACTGCCTATTGTTTTAGTGAAAGGATAACATCTTTGAGGTCTGTGTGGAAGCCATGTGGGCTTAGAGGTTCAAATGTTTCCTTTTGTTTTGTGCAAACTTGGACTCTAAAAAAAGCGCATCCACTGAATGCTGCAATCAGCAGGATTCTTCCAGTCTCTGACCCTCCGTGCTGCTTTAGTATATTCCTTCCCGTTAAAATACAAGAACAACGTGTGCGTAGTGGGAACGTGCCAGAACAGTTCCCACCTTCCTGTGAAATTAGCTGGGAGAAGTGCTGCCATTATAAACCAAGTGGCGAGTTTTTCTTTGAAGAACTCTGCAGGTTTGATTATATCATCCCTTCCATCCTCACAGGCTCAGAGAAACGACTGCATCTGATTTACAGCACACACCTAGGAAGTCAGTGCTGCAACATCTGTAGTAGATATGCAGAACTTCAAAGAAGATTTCACTTTACTCACTTAGATTAATAAAGTTACAGGAAGCCTTTTTGTATTTGCCTTACAGATTTATAAGTTACATATTTTGGCTTCTGCTCAAATGGAGATAAAGATGCATTTTTGTTTTTTGTTGTATTTTTCTTGCAACTCAAACGGTTAGCTCTGGTGAACCTTCACGGAGGAAAGCAGGAAATATGATTTAACACCTGCTTTGTTCAAATATTTCTTTAAAGAGATGATTTTGCTCCTTGTAGCGAGGCTGAAGGGGTATTGCTTTTTATTCCTGATTTTAACTGACCGGGTTTATTGTAACCTGCAAATTCTTCACAATTCTTGGCCCTTTTTAACTATGACACATCACAACCACACATTAGGATTCCTGCAAAAGATAGACACAAAATATGCATAGTAGTGAAACGGAAGTAAAATAACTTGATCATCAAATGATTTTATGACTAAAACGCTGAAAAGTTTATTATGCAGAACCAGATCCTTTAAAAACTACAGCTCTAAGTAGTTTGTGGTCTTACTGTATGAAGTCTGCCGACCCGTTTTTCCAGTGTTCCTGTCTGTGCTGCAACCCCACAGCATGATGCTGCCACTATCATGTTTTTCTGCAGTAATGTTGCGTTCAGGTTGCGCAGTGTTTTCCTGCCACACGCTCTGTTTTGTATTAAAGTTAAGTTTTCAAATTTGGTTTTCATCTCAACAGCCCATCCCCCACCCTACCCTAGCCCCCCACCCCAC